AAGATTTTTTCTGCCTATAGTCTCATATTATATATTACCAGGAAGCATTTCCAATAGAAAGATTTAAAGAGGGGTTTTATATTATGGCTGTAATTCAAATGATCTTATAAAATTCATTAGCAAGATGATCTCATTTATACAAATTTAAAGCACATAACTCATAAAATGCTGTCAGATTTCTGTTGACCCAGGTGCTTATAGTGTGTTAATTTACATCAGGGAGACAGTCCTGTGTGGAAATGGGGCAGCAGACAGGATTTAGCCATTTGTCATTACCACTTGGACTTTGATAAAGGGGAACAGAAAAGAGCGTTGTGACCTTTCAGTGCTTAAATTATTAAAGAGCAAATAGATTTGAGGTCTGGTTGCTCACAAATCTAATTTGTCTTTCACAGTAAAGATGAAAAGATATTTTGGGTTTCAAATAGCTCTAGTCAACTTGGTTCTCCCTTTAATGAGTCAGAGGATGAATTCAGGTGTTTAAAATGCATTGTGCATGAAGTATTACTTTGTGTAGCTTAACCAGCATGGTCTGATCAGAATATAACTAGGCAAACACCAATTCCACTGTAAATTTTCAGCAACCATTAGAAATGAATTCCTATCTCTGTGATTAACATCAGGTTTCAGTCATGTCATGAACATAATGGATGTAATTAGAGAATGCAAGCTAATCAATATTTCTAGTCACTAGTGGAGAGCATCTACAGCAGCGTTTCTCAACCTGGGGGTCTCAAAGAGATGTTGGGGTGTTGCCAAAGACTATCCGAAAACACAGTATGTTTCTGTTGGTCATGGAGGTACTTTGAGGGTAGTTCAGCCCAATTCTATCATTGGTGGGGTTCATAATTGTAGGTGATTGTAGGTGAACTAAAAATCCCAGCAACTCCAACTCCCAAATGCCAAGGTCTATTTTCCCCAAATTCCATTAGTGTTCACATTTGGCCATACTGAGTATTTGTGCCAGGTTTTGGCCAGATCCATCATTGTTTGAGCCCACAGTGCTCTCTGGATGTAGGTGAACTATAACTCCAAAACTCAAGGTCAGTGCCCACCAAACCCTTCCAGTATTATCTGTTGGTCATGGGAGTTATGTGTGCAAAATTTGGTTCAATTCCATCATTGGTGGAGTTCAGAATGCTCTTTGATTGTAAGTTAACTATAAATTCCAGCAACTACAACTCCCAAATGACAAAATCAAGCCCCCGCAACCTCACCAGTATTCAAATTTGGGCGTATTGGGTATTTATGCCAAATTTCATCAATTGATTGAAAATACATTCTGCATATCAAATATTTACATTGTGATTCATAAGAGTAGCAAAATTACAGTTGTGAAGTAGCAACAAAAGTAATTTTATTGATGGGGGTCACCATATCATGAGGAACTGTATTAAGGGGTCACGTCATTCGGAAGATTGGGAAACACTGATTTATAGCATGGGTGAAAAACTGTGTAGGATGGGTTGAGTTAGCCATCCAAGAGACTTTAGAGGGCCACACCTTCCTCCAAGAGCCCTCAATGAAACATGAGGCATGTTTTTGGACCTTCCTGGGTTTCTAGATTGTAATGTGAGATATTTGAAGCAAACTTTTTTTTTGTGAAAAAAAGTAATAAAATTTCATTTCCACCCCTGGGAGCGTCCAGCAGTACTCAAAATAAGTGGAAATGTTATCTACATCCTTTGAGATCATTTGGAGGTGGGGGGGGGGCATATCACCATGACTGATGATATCAAAATAGCCAAGAGGTCCAAGAAAACAAGCAAAGCACTCCCACTATTCTTTCTCAATGTAAATATTCACTAGTTCAGTAAAGATATAGTTTCAAGAAATCTGATTGAAAATTGATTCAAGTTATCTATTCCATTGAAGAATGCCTAGACCTGACCAACAACCAGTAGTTAAACATCTTGCGTTAGTTAGTGACTGGCAGATTATTGTTAAGGCCTTCATGATCTCATGAAGATTTGTTCATCTCTGCAGCATGGGTAGAATGGGATTCAAACTGGCCAGATTTGTATTTGCTTTAAACTTTACAGGGTGTAGTGTAGACTTAAGATTAGAATGAACTTCTTGAGCAATCTGCTTACTGACTAATGACAACCAGCCAAAGTGCAGTGAAAAGGCCAGAAGTTCTGGCCCAGCACACCATGAGACAATACTGCAGACCATATATGTAACTTGGCTCTGTTACAGGCAGGCCAGCCTCTGAGTGTGGCTTAGATTTCAGTGCAACACACTCTGATTGCATAAGGTAATACCCAAATGGTAAATGAGAAGATCATGCAGTCATGCTTTCTGGATCTTTCATACTCCCAGTGTGTTACAAAGAAAATTAAAAATGGATAGGAGAAAATAGGTTCTCTTTTGAGTTTTTTTCCATAGTGCCACAGTCAGGGACAATTCAGTTGATGAATACTGCTTGTTCACAAATGTAGATCATCACCAACTGCCTGAGACGAAGAAAGTCTTCAGTCACTTTTCATTCAGCCTTCATTAGCAAGGGTTAACAAGGGGCAATGGTGTTCAAAGTTCAAACTCGGTCCTTGATTATTTATTTATTGTTTCCAAAATAGACTTTTTTTAATGTAATAATCAGGAAGCTTTACATTCAGACAGGTGGTAGGACAAACCAAACTAAGTTCAGTTTTCTTGTTATAATAGTTGCTATGTGCCTTTGAGACATTTCTGACTTAATATTTTATTTACCCAATTTACTTATATATAAGTCTAAAAATTTTAGTTTAAAAAATCAACCCAAAAAACCTGGGTTGACTTATCTATGGGTCAGTGTGAGTACTGTACCTTAACTCTTTAAAAAAAAATCCTCCTCAGCTCAGAGTAGTGTGACAAAAGGGAAGAGGTTAGTCTACCCCAGGAAAACCTTAAAAAATCACTGACACCCCACTACTCTCAGGCTTTTATGAATGTCTTGGAAATACAGGTATTGACTAGGAACAGTTGGTCCCCAAGTCATAATTGGTGCTTTCCCCTCTCCACAGAATGACCCCAAAATTATCTACAGATCATATCAGAATATATAATTTTGGCTCTAAATCTGCCTCCAACTTATATATAAGATAGATTTATACATGCTCTGCCTTGATAAGCTTGCAACAGTAACAGAGTGCTGTTATTTTGTTGTTCAGAAACTTCATGAGCAGAACATGTGAATAATGCCTTTTTGTCTGATCCTCTCTGAACATCTGGTATATTATTATGTGGTAGGAATTCTTTTCCAGGCTAGCAGTTGATAAATTTTCAAAAACACCTTGAAATGTTACCTGCTGTTATGTTTTTATGATAAAATTTTGCATGTTTATATATCCTTTATTGCAGAGGTGGGTTATTGCAGCCCATGGATGATATTCACAACCAAGCCCTTCTTTGTGGGGGGAGACTCACTCAGTGTTTCAGAAAATTTTTATTTAAGGAAAAATAATAATCATAATTGCCACTGAATACTAAATGAGGTACAGTCACTTGCTCAAGTATAATGGGGATTTTATTTAACTAGCAAAATTGCTCAGTTTCTCTTCACTAAGCACTGCCAAGCTGTGTTTCACAAGAACAGCGTACTGTATTTACAGTCAAGCTACCCAAACCTACAATTCAAATGTGGTGCTAATCAGTCTAGCTATCTCAGAAGAAGTAGATAGGATGCCCCACTAAGAGTTTCCCAAAGGTGAATTTTGTATGCCTTCTTGCCTTCCTCTGAGAATATGTGACTTGCCCAAAGTCAGCCACTTGATTTCCATGGCTCAGTGAGTGCTCAAACTCCCAAGAGTGCTTGTTCAACACTCAGATCACAATACTACACTCACTTTCATAAAGAATAAAGGAGCATTCCTGTGGAACTCTCTACCCAGTGACATTTGATTGTCCCCCTCCCTCCTGTCCTTTAGAATGAAACTCAAAACCTGGTTTTGGAGCCAAGCATTCAAACAGGCAGCAATTTAGAATGAGATCCAATTTGTGTGAATGATAATGGACTGACCCAGACTATGATTTCAAACCTGCATGATTTAAACAATGTTTTAGTAATTTTAAAGCATTAACAAATTGTTTTAATTGCTTTTATCATTTATGACTGCAGTTGGCATTGAATAAATGCCTGTTGTGATACCGCCCTAAGTCCCTCTCCGGAGGTGAGAAGGACGGGATACAAAGATGCGAAATAAATAAATAAATATGAATGCCATAAACCAAGGTTCCTCCAACCCAGCCTGCCAAATTATCCATTTTGGGACTTATCACTCAGAGAAACATTGTGAACAGGTAGATTTGTGCCAATATAGATTTCAAAAACAAAATGAGAGGCACAAGGGAGAACCACCTTCCTTATTAAGAATTCATCTTCATTAACAAAGGGGATTTCAATCCAGTCATCAAATTTGGCTATTAGGTTTATCTCAAAACTACTCTGGTCAGTTTTCTTCTGCTACTCTTTTTTCCCATCTTCTCAAATATTTAAATAATATTTATTTATTTTCCCATATTCTCGAACACTGTTTTGTTCAAACAGGGCAAATCTCAAAGTGAGAATCTACAGCCTTATACCTACTTTCCATTCTTCAAGATAGTTATCACTTTAAAAATGCATACGATATTATATTTGGATGCATCCAAGGGCTATGACTTGCTCTTAAATGCTTTCTGGTGAATATTATTTTCTTTATGTATATTTAAATCAGTGGTTCTCAACCTGTGGGTCCCCAGATGTTTTGGCCTACAACTCCCAGAAATCCTAATAGCTGGTAAACTGGCTGGGATTTCTGGGATTTGTAGGCCAAAGTACCTGGGGATTCACAGGCTGAGAACCACTGATTTAAAAGGACGTAGGAACACATATTTTAACACTTAAATCTTGAAAATTTACTTTATTTTACCCTACTGCTTGCTTTTAAGCACAATATGTATGTTCCACATAATTTATATTAACATGTCCTTTCCCCCCCTCATTCCTTGTTTCTCTATCACCCTATCCCATTTCTTAGCGTCTACCAAATCGTTGTTGAAGAGGAACGTCCCCGCAGAACGAAGAAAACAACTGAAATCTTGAAATGCTATCCAGTGCCAATACACTTCCAGAATGCTTCTCTTTTGAACTCTCAGTATTATTTTGCAGCAGAGTTTCCAGCCAACGGTATTCAAACTGCTCTACCTTTTACTGTCGGTGACAACAAAACTTACAACGGCTTCTGGAACACTCCTCTGCTCCCTCATAAAAGTTATAGCATTTATTTTCAAGCTCTCAGCAGAGCCAATGGGGTAAGTTTTCAGACAGAGGTTTGAAGCTGTATCCAGGTGTGCTGTATATACAATGCCAAAAATACAATGGAAAAAGAGATTGCACTTTTTTCTTTGACTATTCACAATATCCTCTTATTAAAGATGGGCAAGGGGTGAAGAAAAGAATCATGAATTTCATTTTCCTGCCAATGGAGGCAAACCTAGCAGACATTCCTTGCAAAAAAAAAAATGGCATTCTGTCATGTTTTCAATCTCTCTATCCTTGGTACATTATTTTTGCTTTTCCATTGTTGTCTGGGTTATTCAACTGAATTACATTAGTTTACACCAGGCTGAAAGTCCATATTTCCTCTTGCTTGTCCTGACTTAGATATATGTCCTTTCTCTCTTAAGCTGTGTAAGAGAAATAAGTTGAAAACAATCAAAGTGAAAAGTATGTAAAATGTGTTTCCATTTTATCCAGCTGATTCTACCATTGTTTTCCATTTTCTGGGCAGACCTATCCAAAGCCCTTCAACTCCTGATAAGCTTTGGCTGACTCCCTTGACAGCAAGGAAATGTTTTCTGCCAGATACCATAATAGCCCCTCTTTTACAGTGTACTGACAGTGCAGAAATGTGAAACACCATTGATTTTTGCTTGCTTTCTTACATTGTCTAGCATGTTGCTTAGAACTATGTAGCTGACAGTAAAGAAGAAGAAAAAAACCCAAGGTCAGAGTGTTGTCAGAGGAGGGGGGAAAGTGCAGGTATCATGTCTAGTAACATCTCATTCATCTTCTAGGTTGATGTTAAGTGAAGTATTGATGTTACATGCCCAAGTGCATTTTCCTTCTGTTGTCTATAACAAGGAAATGAACTGAACTATTGCAAGATCTTATTAAGCTAGAGAACAAACATGGAAAGCTTATGTTTTCCTTAGATCTTAGAAGCAGCTTCAGCAGACACAATACATCTTTTTTTAAACTGTGGATGCAAACTGGCAAATGACCTTTTCTTTCTTTTTCTGACATAGGAAACAAAAATTGACTGCGTCAGAGTGGCCACAAAAGGTATGCTTCATTTGCCTTTTTCCACTAACCTTAAGTCTGCTGACCTTTATTCACATTGTTGAACAGATATGTGTGATTCTGTCATGATACTTTGAACCTTAGCAGTTTAAATATAAAAGCATGGTGCCAATTTCTTAAGTTTGTTTAGTTGCAAGAACACAGCCTTATTATTCAGCAATTAATTTTTCTGATAGTTTGCTATCATACAAACTTAAATTCACTAGGACATAGAGCAACCAGTCAACTTGTTCATGAAAATGGCGAAAGTCTCTTTTCTTCATAGTTTAAATATCTTAATAAAATTAATTTTTAAAAGTTGGGATGCAGACTAACCATGAATAATAGAGCTCCTGGTATCTAAGTATGATTCTGCAAGCAGTTGAAACAGTTTGTACTCCTTGTTTCTCCATCTGTGTTTTGGGCATGTTTTTCTTACTGAGTTTTTCCAAGAATGTGGGATTCTTGCACTTTTATGGGACATTTTTGGACAGCATTTTTTATATTGCATTGCAAATCAGTTTTGTACTCCCTGAATTGCAGATTGCCTTGTTAAGCAAGGAACTGTTCTTAGGAATAAGAAAGTTGAGAAATACACGCAATGATCTAGATGGCAACCAGAGTAATTTTTCAGAAGCTCTATTGACATTTCTCAGACTACTTTGTTGACAATACCAGTAATCGTTCTGTCCCATGTTATGTCATATAATATGCCTGCTGGCACAGTTATAGGCGTTTTCTCTCATTTTTAAAGAATAAGAAAGGTAATTTTCAATTTTGGAAGAAAAAGGTTGTATATAAGACTTACTGTCAACAGCCTGTTGAATGAAAGTGGAATGTGCCGTACAATATATGTATAACTGTAAAGGCTGTTATGCATAACACATTTTTTTTAAAAAAATGAGGATTTTACAAGATGATTTAATAAACTTTGTATGGCAGTTGTTTAAAGAGCTACATTCACCTCCCAGTTTTACTTATTTATTTAGTTAGTTACAACATTTCTACCCCACCTTTCTCCATCTCGGAGGGGACTCAAAGCGGCTTACACTTAGGCAGCTATGCAATGCCTTCAAAAGCAATGTACAGTTAAAATAAACATTTAAATATATGCTTAACATATGCTACTGATATTTCGTGAAACTGTGTATTATTCCTGATCTTGTAGAATTTTGATCGTTTTTGTCCTGGTAGTTTTTTAAAGAATGAATTAAGTAGAGAGGGGAAAATGGCCTCAGTTTAATATAAATAAGTAGACTGATTTATTAACATCACTTGGCAATCTGTGTTACAAATCTTTAAAAGTCATTCTGCCATTTGTTTCACTGTTTGATAAGCTCAACTTTTTCATTCCTGTGCTCAGGAAAAAAGGTTATATTATGCCATAAAATAGCTACCATAGCAACAAATGACATCAAAGTAGCCTCTTAGGGGAATGCAGTGAAAGAGGTTCAACTTTTATTTAAAACATATGCCAGTTCATTTTGTGTTGTGAAAGTGTATTTGTGAGTACTTTAGAATTTCTGAAAAGGCTGTACATTTTCAAGTGTTACCCTGTGTACAGTAATCCTCCGAGCTACAATTTAGGACTGAAAAATATTCAAAATGGTCTCAGGAATTTTCTGCATTTTTTTTTAGAAATATTACTTTTGTTGAATTATGTATAGGATATACTGATTTACCTAAGTGCTGAAAATCTAGATGATGAATATGGTGCGTCTGTATTTGCCATAGCATTTTCGTTACTTTTCTTTCCATTAAGAAGAGGGCTAAGGCTGAACTCTAGTTTAAGTTCATATTCTTGGAGCAGGATTCTGTCACTTAGTCTTTCTGTCAAAAAATCAGATAAATGTTTTATCTTAAAAATGTGTCAGAATCTTGTTCTTAGTATTCTAGTCAGAGGAAGCATTGAGATCCAAATTGAAACAAGAAGGAGCTAAAGTCAGGAAAAATCTAATTCCATGGTCCGCACATGATTTCAGAATCAACCAGGAAGGTGTGGATGTGTGTCTAGACAGAGGAATTAAAGCTAGTTGTTGTATCAAAATGAGAAGATGTTTTGAAATGTACTACCATTATGATTATCTTTAACTGAAACCCAACTTTAGTAGTTCACAATCTTCTTAGGATATTGGACTGGATAATTTTAAAGTCAGGAATTAATTCTAAATTGTCAAAAGTGTCCTGAACGAGAGAGCTGTTGAATGGTCCAACACGCTTAATGATCAGTGGAAGGAGTTTTGGGACAGAGTAGTTATTCCGACATAGAAGTACCTGAAAAAGAAGGGAGCAGCTACAGATCCTACGCAAAGGCTGATGATAAGTGACTGAAATAGTTGAATTCAGAAGCTGTGAGGACTAGCGAGGAAAGGAATACTTCAGAAGCAGTTCTGCAGGGTGTCTGATTAGACTAACAGCAAGAGACAGTTGTCTGCAGAAAAGCATCAGAGGAGGGACCTAAGTGGTGAATCCTTTGCTGTGTCCCTGGGAATATTTAAACTCATGAAACTAATTTTAACTCACATTTGAGCTACTTTGGATCCCATTTGGGAAAAGGCAGACTTTAAAATAAAATAAATTGATGATAATGATGATAACGGTGGTGGTGATAATGGTAATAAAATCAAAGTAAGTCCTACATGAAGGTAATTCATCTCACAAATCTGAAGATCTGCAGTAAAAGGCAACTGACAGACTTCCTTCATCTAGTGGGTTCCAGGCAAAGGTAAAACCAGAGGCTCATGAAAACTGCATAGTTTTGTGCTGCTTTTCCATGATCCCTAGTTCAGGGAAGGACATTGAGAATTCTTTGCCAGAGAACTCCCATGCCTCACCAAACTACAAATCCCAAATTCCTGTATGATTAAACAATGAAAGTGAAAGTGGAATAATAACACAACAGTAGTGTAATGTGAATGGGATCCTGGTTTTCCCTATAATTGTGTTATATGATTGGACTTCCAGTTTGCTTTCTGAGACAGTGTGAAAAGCCACTTTGGTGGAGGTAGGGATTAAGTAATTAGTACTGTACTTCAGTTATAAATTCATGCATTTATTACAGTACCAATTTATGTAAATAACTAATAGAGTGTTTCTTATTTATTATCTTCATAGTATATAAATAGCATTTAAATACATACAAATATGTTTTCAGTTTTTAAATAAATCTGTTGGTTTATCTGGTGGCTATATCTTGCATCCCCCCTACTGTATAATTTATGAATTACTAGCAATTTTATAGTAGCAGTGGGAAATCAAATAATAAGGTGGTAAAGATATTTAAGAGAGGTATTTATAAAATGAGGTAGAATTAGTGACTCACATCCTCTATACTTGGCAACTATCACGGGAATTAATTCCTAATCCCCCACAGTTTGTTGTACGAAAATATCCCTACCTCTTGTCAAAATGTCAGAATTGGTGAATTCTAGATAAAGAGATATATTGTGTTACCTAACAGGTTAAAATAGAGAAATTAAGGAAATAAAGTCCCAGAATCAAGAGAGAAGTTACAGTTTTCCCACACAAAGCGCTGGTACTCCCTTCCTTTACCTCATAGATAATCTGAATCCAAATTTAGAATATATTTATTATGTAAAGAAGCATACGAATAATGATGGCAATTAAAGTGATTCAACAATTAGAATTTCGTTAAATTACAATATGATCTTTTAATCCTCAGCTTCAATATGCACACGTAGCCATACTCCAAAAGATATCCTCCTAAAAAGTATTTGTGGTCCTGTCTAAGTCCTCCTGAGTTACTCTATGTATTTTTCCATCCCAGCTATAGTCAAAATATAGGATTTGCTGTTATCCATGGTTTCTGGTATCCCCAGGGCCCTTGGAACATGTCACCTGCAGATCCTAGGGTTGTACTATAAGTCATTTTGTATTGATAATAACTAATTTCAGTCTTAGTGCTTCATGTCTGGCTCTCTTCATACTTGCCTGCTGAGGCAGATAGCCACTCGAGAGTGGAACAATGAAAGAAAAAGCAAAGAAACATGTTAAATGTACTGTGTGTCAATTATACTCGAAGTAGTGTACACATATAAACCTCTTCTGTAAAGTAAATTATCACTTGAATAATTTTGCTCCTGAAATGCTGTCAATGCCCACATTATAATTCCATGCATTCAGACATTTGAATAATAAAACATTTGACATTCTAACTCAAAACCTCAGGCCCGGTAGGAAAATTATGGTTGAGATCCTGCATTGAAAGATGTTCATCTAGATATCTCTCTCTAGCTACAGCTCCTGATGCTACTCCAAAAAAAAAAAATCTTTTAAGCCATGTAGTTTGCACTTCCAACAGAGGAATTTCCAAGGTGCTGGAAAGTGGAGTGATGAACAATGACTAGTGATGAAAAGAATATTGTAAAATATTCAAAAATCTGTTTCTTGAATGTTGAGAAACTCTTAACAAGAAGAATGCTGAGCTCATGAAAATCATGGTTTTCATTATATACAAAATCCATACATCATTGTCTTGTGCATGAAGACACAAGAAATAACACGTTCTGTATGAAAAGCAGTATTTATACATATAAATATAATTTTCTGCACAGGAAAGGATACATCCAGCACTTTTCTAGTAGTGGGGCACTCTGGGACAGACAGTGGCAAGGACTTATGTAGGATCTCCTCGCAGCTCCTAATCACAGCATGTCCCACTGCTCGAAGAGCGTTAGATGCATCACCCTGCTCTTGAGTGCCTTGGATGTTTCTCAGTGTGTGCATATGTGTGTGCATGGCTTAACAGGTTTGGCGGATCCTCTTCATCATTGTGACGATGCATCAATTGTAAAAGTCAATTAATGTCCTGAACAGTGTGAGATAATGTTTTCAGAAGCCCCAGTGACTTGGCCACTACCATTGTAACATGCAAATCTCCAGAGGAAGAATCCTCACTGAAAGAACTCCTGGGAAAATATTAATCATAAGTGCTATGCAAATTGAAGTGAATGGGTCAACAGAAAGCAGGTTTGGCAGTTTGCAGAGGTTGGAGGATTTACATTGATCTAATGTAGTCACCAAGAATACAGCAAAGTTCAAAGTTTGCAATTGAATTCCAAGACTTTGTTCTTTTTCATTGGTATTGTTGAAAAAATGTGTAATTTGCTGAAGAAAATTGGAAGTAGAAGAGTTTGCCCATCACTAGTTTTAATCTTTCCCAATTCAGAAAATTAATAATATTCTTTATCTTGAAAAGAAATGCATGTTCCCCTTTGCATATTCTTGTACTGTCAACCACCATATTGACTGTTCTACTTGAAAGTAGGTATACTGGATTAATTTAGAAAAATCACACTAAGGCTGTTTCTACACAGTCACATAATCCAGATCAGAATATGGATTAAAGAAATCCAGTTCCACTCCAGAAAGTCTCCACACATACTTGGAAAAAGAGGCTTCCTTACTGCTGTTCCCTGAAGAATAATCAAAGAGAGCTCAGATGAAAATAGCTTTACTTGAGACATCATTTTTCTCCTCATTGACTTACTACTTATTTCATAAAACGGGCCATAAGGAATGGCTTGCCTCTGGCAAAACTACAATTTGACTTTTCTCACCGACATTTCAAATGCTGTGAGACTTACCCCGCAAAAGAAAGGGCAGCATGGGTTTGAGTGATTTTACAAAGCTGCCGTATTTTGTATTAAAGCTATACGTTTCATTATTTAAAAAGTTTTCTAACTTAAAATAGAAATAAATGAAAAATATATTTCATTGTAATTAGGCATTATAATTGATTGGTTTAACCTGCTGGTGACGCAGCAGGTTAAACCACTGAGCTGCTGAACTTGCTGACCGAAAGGTTGGCGGTTCGAATTCGGGGAACAGGGTGAGCTCCCGCTGTTAGGTCCATGCCAACGTAGCAGTTCGAAAACATGCAAATGTGAATAGATCAGTAGGTACCTCTTTTGTGGGAGGGTAACAGCATTCCATGCAGTCATGCTGGCCGCATGACCTTGGAGGTGTCTACGGACAATAGATAATTTAGAAACTAGAAGGACATAAAGGAATGTTTAGCTAAACATGGCATAAACAACAGTAAACTCCTTAGATGACGATGATATCATCCCTAATCAATAAAATAAATTATGAATAATAAATACTATATTATTAAAATACAATAGTAGCCAACATTATTTTTATAGTTCAATTTCATGGCTGCAGGGTACATGTTTTCTTATTCTGAAGTCAAAAGAAAATGTCCTATCCCTCTCTCCCAATGTAAGACCACAAGGTCTATGTCTGCTGTTTTAATTTTGCAGATAAATGAGAGAAAGATGCCTTGTACTAACAGTGCAGCCACAATTACTAAAAGACTGTTTCAGAGTTGCGTAGAGATATTTCAAAATATTATGCAGCAGCAATTTTGAACTTAATTGTCTGCAGATGTTGGATCATCTCATTTCCTCACTCAGTGCCACACATCTAACTGCACCCAGGCTGGTCTATTTAAATTTACAAGCCTTCATATCATCAATTTCCTTAATTTCCATTGGGTTCTGAGGTTTTTCCTTCATTACCTTTTCCAGATGCGGCAAGCTTGATCTGAAATGTTAAAAGTTGCTCTCTCCCACCCAAACTCAAATGCAGTTTTTAACAGTAACATTTATACATGGAACTTCTGGAAAGGAAAGAAATGTCTCAATAATGCAAATGTTGAACACCAGTACATTCCTCTTTTGAAACATTGTTCACTTCAAGGCTTGTTCATTCATTTTCTTATCATAAAAGGACCCATGCACATGACAGTTTTCTGCCATAAATAGAAATAACTCTGCAACTGATATGTAAGGAGAAATGAGTATCTGTTTTCTTTAGGAGTGCTTGTGAGTTGATTCAAATTTAGAGATGCTGCCCACAGTGAAGCCCATGACCTCTTCTATTATTGCAAATACATATTTAGAATTCGTATTGCATATGTGTAATTTTAAAATTAAATCTGAACTTTTAAAACCTTGTATTTTAATGAATTTCTATATTTAAAAGTTGGAATAATAATACATCATAAAGGATAAAAATCTATCCATAAAAAATAGGTAAAGAAGAATAGCCAGTAGAAAAGCCAAAACACAGTAAGCAACGCTCATATTTAATTATTTACTTCTTGTATCCCGCCTTGCTCTACTCCGAAGGGAACTCAAGGCGGCTTTACATATGGCAACTATTCAATGCCTTTGAACAACAAACAGTTAAAATGCATTAAATTAAAAAATTAAAAATGAACATTAAATGCACATTAAAACATATAAAACATTGCAATCACTATTAAAAGAAAGGCAAGTACTGTGTAATATACAGTACCTCTTACTCTTTGTAAACTGTTGTAGGTTCTAATTCAAGGGAAAGGCAGCTTATAAATGGAATAAATAAGTAAAATAAAACAAGAATTTAAGATTAGTATATGTAATTCCTTTTCTGAACACTTTATAAATTGACATAATTCACACAACAGCTGCCAGGTTTTGTGAATTATTTAAGTAAATAAATAGAAATGTTTACTTATTCTACTTAATCGTAAATCATTGTGCCAACATTAAACTTTTGTGTCCCTACAATTTTTTTAAGTGAAGGGTGGAATAAGGGTGTGGAGTGATGGTATTCAACCACTCCCTCATGCTGTTTTTCTGATGAAATTATGCCTTCCTCTAAGGCCCCTTCTACACTGCCCTGTATGTCTCCACTGCCAGATAATCTGGGATAAAAAGATAATCTGGGATCAGATCCTGGGATATAGGGGCAGTGTGGAAGGGGCCTAAGATGCTAGCTACCTCCTTAGAACTCCCATGGTGCTGCTATTTCAACTTGCATTGGATCCCCACCTGTACATCTAGCAAGTTGGTGGCCCATGAGCCATATCTGCTATCCTGAATTCCACCTCCCACCCACCCACCCCCCAAAAAAGTTGTGTTTTATTCTTCCAAAAGGAAGGTTTTAAAAAAAGCTTTTTAACAAAACAAGTCATTTTTTATTTTATTATGAGAGTCTGATGTGGCCACTAGGTTGCTGGACCCTGGAACTTGGCTACCCAGAATTTATAAAAGAGAACGGAGAGGCATTCGTACATTCTCTTGCAACCACTAGTTTGGTTTTTGATAGTTCAGGAAGTCTTCATTTCATATTCATAGGCATCAAAGTAAACATAAGATTTTTCAATTTAAGGAATGTAAATGTGATATTTTATGATATAAAAATAATATTGAGGTATCTTTTGAAAGCTAATTTACAGGTTTTATATTACTGACATTATGAAAATGTTGCAGCAATATACATAGGGTGAAGTTAGTGCTGTTGAACTACTACTTGACTAGTATTTCAGTTTGGATGCACTACAAATCTCGAATGTATATGATGCATCCCATTGGATGCTACTGCTGTTTAACTACTGTTTGACTAGTGTTTTCAGGTTACATGATAAATCCTGAATTTCTGTGATTTACCCATTAGAACCACCATATAGTTAATTTGATATTTTACATAATGTGTTTTAAATTGTTTTGTTTATTTGTTATTCATTTTGTTATTTAAAGCAAGAGTCATTTGGAGCTCATCAGTAAGTGCCAAAGGATACTGAAGGCTGGACACATTATTACGTTTCCCCATACAATTAAATGTTATGAGTACTTAACTGGGTGGAGAAAAGTTGATGGGAACTGAGCTGTGCATATATGGGTTAGTGAGCAGCCATGTCTATAATTACAGTTTTCCTTTTTTTTCATACAGCTACAATAATAATAAAAATGGTTGCCATCTTTCTTCTGTACAATCCAGTGTGCAGCAATCTTTACACAAAGGGTTGTAGCCCTAGGCATGTTTACAATTACATGAGGAATTTACTAGTGCAAATCTCTTCTAACCATCCTTTCCGCCTCCCTTCCTTCCTCCTCCCTTCCGTCCTTCCTTCCTTCCTTCCTTCCTTCCTTCCTTCCTTCCTTCCTTCCTTCCTTCCTTCCTTCCTTCCTTCCTTCCTATTTGTGACAATTTGAAACAATAAAAATGGAAGAAATTGTTTCTTGCTAGCTTAGCTTCAGTCTGGCTTTTTTTTCCCCTTATGCATGCTGACCTGGAAATCTTCCTTTGCCTTAGCTGCGATAATCGTGACTCAGCTTACAACACCATACATTCGCATCGCCCCTGCTGCAGGCGACGACCAACTAACAGGTCAGACACTCAAGTATAGACAAGTCATCTTACCCATTTCCATCTCGCTTTTTGGGCTTGTTTCCATCTTGCTTTGGGGGTTTGTTTTCCTTTGCATCCTTATCATCCTTTTCTTACAGTTGTTTTACCATGTTGTAGAATTTGCCATTGTGCAATTGGCTGGATAGCAAACAGTTAGAACACATGTATTCATAAGCGCAAAACTATTCCACTGCATGTTTCATTGTGTATTTCAACACTGACTTGATCCCTTTACAGCCTTAATTTTTAAAAAAATGTCTATCCTGACTTCCAGTGGCTAATATATACTTCACTACTTTAATATAGATGCATAGGTTCTCAGTCAGAAGTCTGTCCACAGCTCATGGAAAGCAAGATTTATCGGAAAATGCTGGCGTAAGGGTTAGGTGATCATTTTAGTGAGGTGGTCTATAATGCTCAACAAAAAAAGGAGAGAGAATTATGGAAAACTGGGAGAAGTTTAGGCTCCGTTTAGCACCCCTTCCCCTTCACAGCCAAACCATTCAGCAACTTCTGGGTGACTATTTTTATAAATCCCACAGAACTTACAGGAAAAGAAGGGTAGGGTTAAAAAAAACTCAGCTTCTGTCCACTGTATTATGTAGATCTTTAAATCAAAGTGACAACATTTAAATACATCTCAATGTTACTGAATTTTTACAAGACATTTAAGTAATGTGCAAACATTTAGCTCATAACATAGGCTTAGAAAATAATTTTTTCATATAAAAATCTGAGAAACTGTTAAAAGTTTTAATATAGTTCGCTTAACTCTTCAGTATATTTGTAATGTGCCATTAGATCCAGAGCCCATGGTGCAGGAGTGAGCAAAATCTTGGAGAACCCATGGTTTATAGCCTTTGAGCCATGCAGGCAGTTGGGGACAGGGCCAATAGGAGAGACATTTCACCTTTAAAATACATTGCTTAGTGTACTGTTTTAATGTTTTTAAAGACATTTCAAAATCATGATTCGATTTCTGCCTATTCTAGTTTTGTTTTTAGCTGGTACTCTATAGCCCCCAGACATTGACCACTCAAAGTCATGGCAGTTGCCTACCCCTGCCAAAGTAGGGTGCAGATATTGGAATCCAGACTTCTCACCACTACAAAATTTATGTTTCCTTATTAAAATCATATATCTGCGATAAACCGTTTCCCTCACTTTCTTACACAATGATTTCCACAACCAGGCGCCAGTGCTGGAGAATGCAGTGCTAATTATTATTCTATTACTCCTTTACCCCAAAAGACTAAAGACAGAAATCTGTGTCTTCCCCATTTCTAGTTAGTTTCTTTCATATTTCTCTTATGGTCCTCTCAGCTTCAGGTAGCCAGCTGAGGAAACCAGTCAGAGACAATTCATAGTTGTAGTTTCAGATGTCATAACAAGCCATTTTTTAAAAGACTTTGGAAGCTAGAAACAAATGGGCAAAGATTATGGTTTGTGTCTCTTTAACAAACCATGACCAGATACATGTGCACATATTATAACAAGTTAGATTTCAACAAACCAGTCCATACCAAAATCCAGCATTAACAGAAATAGACTGCATATTACTACATTCTAGAATGGTTTTTTTAGTTGTATCATGATACGGATATTAAAATATTAGCAAAGGTTTTTGGCAAGGGACATTAAAGAATTTGCAGTCCACTACAAAAAGCCATGCCTCCAGATAGAGAATACAACACAAAGTGATTTTTTTCTAAAAGGGTTATGTAATTTGCATTGAAACTATTTCTTTTCAAACACACGTGCAGAAAAAGCAAGTAGAAAAGTATTGTGTGAATTCTGAAGGCTGATTTTTAATTGAAAATCATTTTTTCTATAGTCATACCTATAGAGTATAGAAAAAAATAAAGACAAAAACATGAAAGAAAGAGGAAATGAGAAGTTATACCTATTTGAAGATACATATGTATGTGTGTGTGCATATATGTGTGTGTATAAAGCTAAAGTGCAATACCATATCCTTAGCCTAAAATAACAGACGCTAACTAAAACAGTAGAAACTAATAATGTGAAACACAACTACTAAAGAGCTCCAATCCTCAATTCAAACTGTAATTAAAAAGTGAAAGAAAAAACAGATAATTTTACCTTAAGAGATCCAATCAAAGAATCCCAATAGACACAAATTAGTATATCATTAAATGTTGTTGCTCAAAAATATCCATAAACAGTTTCCAGTCTTCTAAAAAGTCTTCAGTCTGCAGTTGCATAATTTGTAAAAAAAAATAATTCTTACTCATATAAGAAAATAGACAAAAATATCTTTCCAGATGTGCGCAGCCAGAAAAATTGTGAAATTTCTCATTCTCAGGGATGAAAATGAAAAAAGTGAAAATTTACTTCCCAACATAGTAGACATGTACCTGTTTTTGCGGTCCTTAAACACAAAAATTGCATTTTTGTGTTTAAGGACCGCTGATTACATTTTCAGGCAACTGGTTATGTAACTGGAAACCATGTTTTCTTCCCCCCCTGTACATCATTTATAATTAGATTTCCATAGATACAATATTGAGCTATAAAATGACACCGTAGTTGGTGTGATATGCAGATGCAGTCGTTATCTAGCTTTTGCATAGGTACTGTAAAAGAGTAGCTGACAAATGAGAAAGAGGTGAAGTTGTCAAATTTATATACAAGTCTTCTACTTTTCTAGTGAAGAACCATTTCCAACTTGACCAGTCTATTTACATTCTAGACTAGCTTGTCCATGTCTGCTAAACCTTGAATGTTTTATCATGTGAAAATGAAAATATATTAAAATCCCTATGGCAATGTCACATCTATAGGTAAAGATATTCTCCAGACTGGCTGTGGGGTCAAGGGGTGGTAGAGGATGGCTTTCAGTTTCATTGGAACTTTATGTGGCCGTTGTACATAGATCCTTGGAAGATACTGCATATTTAATCACCTTTTTCTCTAGGCCATATGTGCAAAGCTTGCACATCTTATTTTTATTTGTCCCCATGATATAAACTTGGAAATAATTACATATTTGTAATAACTGAAGACAAAGAAGGTCTAGGATATTTTTCCTTGCCATCAGAATAGCAGTATTTGTCTTAGAAATGAAACTTTGTGGATTAGCAATTAGTTCCAGCAGTTCAAAACAGAAAGGGTGTTTCATCACAATTAGAACCAGAGATATCCATTTTCTATACTTAAAACTGGCATAGTTACCTCTTGTGAATCAAAATGTTTATGTGGAAACAATTCAAGGGATTTTATATTTTTGAGATGCTTGTGACCAAATATGGACATTCTAATATTTGTTTTTGGTGTTTTTTGCACTAATGAAGCCAGCAAAATTTTATACACGTGAGTTTGGAAGTGTATAGTTTGGTCCAAAAATTGTGTTTTTAGGATTGCTTTACACTGGTGTACTTCCAAATCGTCTATAAAACTATTAAGCCCCTCACCAGTGGCATCAATACAAACTGTTCTCTAAGCAAGCAACCAATAATCGAAAATATCTCAATATAAAGAGTTACAGAAGGTAGAAAATAGATTTGAGAAAATAAAAATATTGCCAAGAATGAATGTCATTTGAAGACATAAGGAAAAAGGACAAAGGAAATTTATGAAGAAGGAATTGTTTTATGTTGAAAGAAAAATTACTGGGATTGAAAAAATTGTTATATTACCTTTTGAAGATAGTTAAACTTGAAGTTGCTTCCGATTTCTAACTGAACTGTTTTGAAAGTGTCTTATCATTACTCATTGAGTCCACTGACACTGACCAGAGCAAAATGAAAGAAGTCAGAAGGGAAAGTAGGCTCACCCCTTGCTTTTCTCCTGCTTTCTCTAATTGCTCTGGCACTCCACCAGCATTAAGTGGATGTAATGGGTGACATCTACCAGCAGTTTTGCATCTGGTAGTCACTGCTGAGCTGTGAACAAGAGGGAAACTGTATGTGCCAAATCAGGATGGCCATGTAAACAACTGCTGCTGTTTCCAAACCAGAACTGGTCTGTCTGTTTACACTGTCACAAAATCTGTGACTTTTTAAAATATTGGACAAAACTGTATTAAGCAACTTTGGTGGACATTAGGGTGATTGGGACCCATGTATCATATGTCTATTCACCCGCCTCCCCACATCATTTGGCCCATGTAGATGGGCCCTTAGACCAAAATACCACATACGATGTGTCGAGTTGAACATTTAATGATGAGGAGAAACTCCAGCACCTGACAAAAAGCCTTATCTACTCCATTAGCATGCTTCTCTTGAACATAAGTAGTCTACCTTCTCTATCTGAAAGTAGCACCGAGGATGACTTTTTCTTTCCACAGCATCTTTCCCTCTTTTATATTAAAGAGAATTTTCTGCTTGAAGAGGCAGCAGACAGTAGCTGCTAAGCACCTTTAGTGAAACATGATCTAAATTAGTACCACATGGTTTGTTGCTGAGGCAGCTCTCAGCTTTGTCAGCTAAATAGCAGAGAGGTTAGCTGAAACTAGCAGAATTGATTAACAGATAGATATATAATACCCTGAAAAATAAATTCAAAGTGCATACACAAAAATCTTGTTTTTCCTTGCTCTTGATACATATATTATCAAAAGTTGTTAACTGCCACCAAGTCAACATTGACTTGTAGGGACTCTGTAAACGAGAGACCTTCATGTCACCCTGTTACCAATAATCCTGCTTAGATCTTGCAGACTCGGGTCTGTGGCTTCCTTGATAAATCATTATCAATTTGCAAGACTTTTTTCCTGCCTTCTACTTTACCAAGCATGTTCATCTTTTCTAGTTTTATTTGTGGTTTTGGCAGCCCATGTTATCTATAAAACTTTCTTATAGCACCATACTCTAATCAGGAAGGGGGCATCCCATGGAAAGGAATTCAGGAGCAACTGAGAAGGTTTTCTCTTGTGTTCTCATTAAGCATACCTATGACAATAGTTGGACCAAGAGAATGGCCTCTCCTGTGGATCTGAAGACTCTGGCAGATTG